ACGCCCGTCTTCCCAGGAGGCAGCCCGTGTCCTACAAAGTGAGGCTAAGTCTCAGACGCCCGGCACTTAAATATCACAGACGTGTCTTCCGCTCCCTGTTACAGGATCTGCGAGGACATTTAAGCTCCACTTTAAAGACTCGGTGACATTTTGTCAACGTTAGTGCGGTCGCACTGTATCCAGGGAACAGCATGAGCGTGATTTACGCCGCGGAGGAGAGCATAACAGGACATGCTCTGGATGCCTTGCCATTAAGGTGTCCGTCTGCCCTGGGACGGGCAGGTTAATAAAATGATAACGGTTTCAAGGGCACCCTCCTGTGAACATCACCTGTATGTTGCGTCGTGTGTTCACCACCCAAAGTCACGTCTTCCGTCCTCCCGTGTTAAAGCTGGGAAGGCGAGGCACAAACTCCAGGGCTGTGGCTAGTGGCCACGGGACGGGGATCTGGTGTTTAGCTGGCATTTAGCTGGTCCTCCCCCAGGTCCGAGTGCCTCCCACAGAGGCCAGTGGGCTGGGGACATAGCTGGGGACCCTCCGACACCAAAGAGCTGGGTGATGGACGGGAAGAGTGAGGACCGACCACCTCCAGGGGACACGGGTCCCCAGTCATGTAGGGACGGTGACGGAAAACTCCAACCAGGTCTAGGATGCGACAAGGGATCCGGGCAAAGCGAGGGGGAGGAAGGATCGGACACGGGAGACGCTAGAAAGACAGAGGTGGTCACTGCGGGGCCCCCCAGCCTGGCCGCTGTCACTCACGCACCTGCTTTCAGGTCCCTCCACATCTGCCATGGTCCCCGGCTCATTGCCTTTGAGCTGAATAATATTCCGTTCTCCACCGCCGACTGCAGGACGTCTCGGCTGCCGCCCAGTTCGGGGCAATTACGAATAAGTTTTTAATTCCAATAAGCGTACCTTTCCGTTTTCACTTCATGGAGCGTGCTTTTGTATTGATCTAAAAACTCACCGTCAGATACAAGGATACGTGGACGTCGCCCATGTTACCTCCTGAGAACCGTGTAATGTTAACGTAAAAAAACAAAACAAAACAAAAACCCCACCATGCAAAGCTATAAAGCATTTTTGTGAGTTTATTTGAGCCGAACTGTCGGCACTCGCAGGGAAGCAGAATCTCCACAGGCTCGGACAGTGCCCCAGAGCAGCGGTTCTCGACCTTGGCTGCACGTGAGAATCACCTGGGAATCTTTTTTAAAATCCTGACTTCTGGGCCTCGTTCCGGAAGATTCCCAGGTGATTCTAACGTGCAGCCAAG